TGTTCATGCATTTAAAAACTAACTGCTTTTAGGCTTGCTTAAACCTTTTTAATTTTGTAATTCAGCAGAAAGATCGTATTTAAATCCCATGAGGCCTGAGGTGCTGTTTCCTCTCCTGAGTTCAGTGAGAAGTGAAGGAAGGACTTTGCTGGATTTCAGAGTTATTTAAAATATCTGTGATAAATACACTGGCTTCATCCATGAGAAATGTGTTAACTTGTCTGCTGTTACAGGTGTAACATAGCATTGATACAGGATTAACAGGTAAGAGACAAGTTGTCTTCAGTTTGAAGGTAAAATTTCAAATTATTTTGATTATTTCTGTGCCTTCTGGTGGGGAAACCTGGGCTCCCCAGCTCAAGAAGGACAGGGAACTGCTGGAGAGGGGACAGCAAAGGGCTACAAAGATGACCAAGGGACTGGAGCATCTCTCTGCTGAGGAAAGGCTGAGGGACTTGGGTCTGTTTAGTCTGGAGAAGAGAAGGCTGAGGGGGGATCTGATCAACACCTATAAATCCTTCCAGGGTGGGTGTCAGGAGGATGGGGCCAGGCTTTTCTCAGTGGTGCCCAGGGACAGGACAAGAGGGAACGGGCACAAACTTGTTCCATCTAAAGCTCCATCTCAAGATGAGGAGGAACGTGTTTGCTGTGAGGGTGTTGGAGCCCTGGCAGAGGCTGCCCAGAGAGGTGGTGGAGTCTCCTTCTCTGGAGACATTCCAAACCCACCTGGACACGTTCCTGTGGGACCTGCTGTGGGTGACCCTGCTGTGGCAGGGGGTTGGAGGAGATGATCTCCAGAGCTCCCTTCCAACCCCACATCTCTGTGATTCTGTGAAACACAGTTAACCCCACACTGAAGTTCTCGCTGGAAGTGGCCAGTTCCCGTTCAGGCTGTAAAGGAGGAAATGCTGATTAATTATTATTAAAAGTTTAACAAACAGTGTCTCGGGTAAGACCTGTGTCTGGGACAGGTTTTGGGGAGCCCACGCCTTGATTTAGGTACTGGTAACATCTGAAAAGTACCTCTGTGTTTCCCATGGGACATCACTGCAGGGGAATAATTACCTTGTCAGTAAATGCTATTTCATGTTAGGGCATACCTAGTTGCATCTAGGTGGTTGGTTTGGGCTATTTTTTGGTTCTTTTGGGTGTTTTTTGGCGTGGTAGTCTTGGGGGAAGCCCAGAGTTGTTGAAGCTGTGACAGGCTGAATGCTGTGATCCAAACAAGGCACTCTGCTCCTTTTCCACAAGTGAGATGTGCTTCCATGGGCTGGGATTTAAACCTTTACACCCTGTTTCTGCCAGGAACATGCTGTTAATTGTGTCTGTGTTAATCTTCAAAGCTGATTATTGTTTTCCTACCTCCCCCTTTTAACAAACCTATGCTGGACAGATGGGAACAGAAGCAAGGAGGCTTTTTGTGGTCCTTAAATGTCCTGGATCCGTGGGATGCACAGTTAACCCGATGCTGAAGTTCTCGCTGGAAGTGGCCAGTTCCCATTCAGGCTGTAAAGGAGGAAATGCTGATTAATTGTTATTAAAAGTTTAACAAACAGTGTCTCGGGTAAGACCTGTGTCAGGGACAGGTTTTGGGGAGCCCACGCCTTGATTTAGGTACTGGTAACATCTGAAAGGTACCTCTGTGTTTCCCATGGGACATCACTGCAGGGGAATAATTACCTTGTCAGTAAATGCTATTTCATGTTAGGGCATCCCTAGTTGCATCTAGGTGATTGGTTTGGGCTATTTTTTGGTTCTTTTGGGTGTTTTTTGGCGTGGTAGTCTTGGGGGAAGCCCAGGGTTGTTGAAGCTGTGACAGGCTGAATGCTGTGATTCAAACAAGGCACTCCACTCCTTTTTCCACAAGTGAGATGTGCTTCCATGGGTTGGGATTTAAACCTTTACACCCTGTTTCTGCCAGGAACATGCTGTTAATTGTTGTCTATGTTAATCTTCAAAGCTGATTATTGTTTTCCTACCTCCCCCTTTTAACAAACCTATGCTGGACAGATGGGAACAGAAGCAAGGAGGCTTTTTGTGGTCCTTAAATGTCCTGGATCCGTGGGATGTGGAGCTGTTCATGGCGCTTTCAGAGGGGGTTCTGCTCTGGTTGGTAGAAGTACAGCACAAAATAGTGAAATTACCATTTCTACTTATTTTATTGGCCCTGCATTTGTTTGCCCCCTGCTGCTGACAGGCCAAACAGCAGTTAGATACTGCATAATGATGATGATGATAATAATAAATGCTATTAATAATTTAATATTAATAATAATATTAAATATTCCTCCACAGAAGCTACAAAACATTGGGAATTGGTCCCATCCATGAAATTGGGATCATGGAGGAGGCCACCACTGATAATGCCAAGCTACACTCCTGCGGCTTTGCCAAGAGGTCAGGGAAAGGTAATGGTGCTGGGGAAAGAAAAAAAGCAGCTTAAGTGCTTTTTCTGGGAAGGGATGGGGTTGTATAAGAGACATCACGTGGGATGTGGAAAATACCCAGCAGAGATGCCAAATGATCTCATTCCTCCAGCGTCCGCTCACCCGCCTTTCGCACTTTGGGCCGAAATGCCTGTCTTTTTTGTAGCTCTGTAGACGAACAGGAAAGATCCTTTGTGGTCCCCTTGAAAAGCTTTGGGCAAAGCCAAATCCTGGTGACTTCCACCTGAGCAGTAAATAAGGGAAATAAAATAGATGAGCGGGCTGTTTCCCCATGAAAAGATGGGATGAAGGCAGGAGGGAAGGCAGAATCACACTGAGTGAATCACAGAATGATGTGGGGTTGGAAGGGACCATCTCTGGAGATCATCTCCTCCAACCCCCTGCCACAGCAGGGTCACCCACAGCAGGTCCCACAGGAACGTGACCAGGAGGGTTTGGAATGTCTCCAGAGAAGGAGACTCCACCACCTCTCTGGGCAGCCTCTGCCAGGGCTCCAACACCCTCACAGCAAACACGTTCCTCCTCATCTTGAGATGGAGCTTTAGATGGAACAAGTTTGTGCCCGTTCCCTCTTGTCCTGTCCCTGGGCACCACTGAGAAAAGCCTGGCCCCATCCTCCTGACACCCACCCTTGAAAGATTTATAGGTGTTGATCAGATCCCCCCTCAGCCTTCTCTTCTCCAGACTAAACAGACTCAAGTCCCTCAGCCTTTCCTCAGCAGAGAGATGCTCCAGTCCCTTGGTCATCTTTGTAGCCTCTGCTGTCCCCTCTCCAGCAGTTCCCTGTCCTTCTGGAACTGGGGAGCCCAGAACTGGTCCCAGTGCTCCAGAAGTGGCCTCCCCAGGGCAGAGCAGAGGGGCAGGATGACCTCCCTGGACCTGGTGGTCACACTCCCCTTGATGCAGCCAGCAGATGGCACAGCGCCGCGCCAACCCCTCTAATGAAGATTAAACACGGCAATTACCTTCAGCTGGTTAGTTCCGAGATTGGAGGGAGCCATAAATAGCTCTTTCCCCGTTCGGTTTTAGGTGGGAGCGACCCCGGGATGGCTGTGGTGAAGGAGGGCTGACACCATGATGTTGCCCACGTGGAGATACATCTGCTGCCGCCTGAAATGTTGTCAGGGCTCTCCTAGTTCCTCAATATTCTGCCAGCGGCGGTTGGGACGCTGTTTTGCTCTCGCTAGCACAAATAGAAATTCAAAGGCTTCAGCTGTGAGATTCCTTAGATGGGTTAAAAGCGTCTGTTAAATGAGTTGCAACACCTTGCCCGGCTTCGGGGCAGCCCTGCAAAAAGCAGCCTCCAGAAACCCGTTGCCTTTCCAGCCTGGCTTTTGCAATTTTTATGTGAGATTGAGACAGAAAGCAAGCAGCAACAAAAGCAGCCTCCTGAAACCAGCTGATTTTCCAGCCTCGCTTTTTGCCGGTTTTTATGTGAGATGTAGAAAGAGAGAAAGCAGCGACACGCTTCAGCTCACCCTAAGCGTGCGGAGTGCAGGATATTCTTTTAAAAACTGGCAGATTGATGTCCTTTCGCCCTCCTCCCCCCCCTCCCGTTGTCAACGCTACCATGTTAATTGCCCTGCCTTAATGAGAAGCCTTTATTACTGCCTTCAGAAAGATCCTGCCCCATCCCTGGAAGTGTTTATGGCCGGGTTGGAGGGGGCTTGGAGCAACCTGGGCTGGTGGGAGGTGTCCCTGCCCAGGGCAGGAGGTTGGAACTCGATGATCTTTAAGGTCCCTTCCAACCCAAACCATTCTGTGATTCTACGATCACCTCGTTAGTGGTATTCCTGTTGGCATGGCCTCTCTGAAAGTTCTGTTACTGCTCTGGTAGTTCCTTATCGTTGAATGGGGAATATAGTTGGACCTTGTGTTGTCACCCCTGGTCAGAGGGATGGAAAATGCTGCTGTTCATGAGATCTCTCCCTCAGGAAGGTGAGGGGGGAGGCAGGAGATGGCGTCCCGCCTTCCCTTCACGGGGACCTTAAAGCAGGTTGGAGCCTGCCTTCCTCCTTTTAGGGTTAAAATCTGTGTTTTCCCCAGGTGGGCTCTGGTCCCGGGGGGGTGACTCCACACGCAGGGTGGGTGGGGGGACCTTCTGCCTCCTTCCTCCTGGTTTTGGGTAGGAAAAGACTCTGAAATACAGGCTGGGGAGGGCAGCTTTATTTGGAACGGCAGAGTTGGTGCTCGGAGGTGGCTTGTCTTTAGCTTGTGGGTTGGTTATTTTTTTGGACAGGGATGAAAAAAGCAAAGGTTAAGGGTTAAAACTTAAGGGTGTGAGGCTGGGGAGGGGTGGGAACCCCAAACCCACCAAAAACCTTTAGAAAACGGTGGGGGGGAAGATCCCCTCCGTATTCCCTGGAGCCCCTGCAGCCACAGGAGTGGGGTGACCCCTTTTTTGTCGGATTTCTGTGATCTTCCTTGGCGGGGGTGGCCCGGGCCGGGGGTGGGGGGGAGAAGCGACTCCCCCGGGGCCGGGCCGGGCCAGCGCCGTCGCCTCCGTAACGGCACCGCCGCTCTCCGCCGCAGGTAGGTGGCTGTGCCGGGATGGGGGGGTCCGGAGGGAAACCGGTGGGGGTTTCCCCGGGATAAGGAGCCACCGCCGTGTCCCCGTCCTCCTCGTGTGTGTGTGTCCCCCCTCACGCCGCCGCAGCGGGGGCGGAGGCCGGGCCGCGGCCCTGCTTCCCGGGCGGGGCGGGGCCCGGGGCGGCGATGGCGGAGGCGGAGCGGGCTCCTCTCCTCTCGCCGCTGGCGGAAAGTTCCCGGGACGGGGCCGGTGCGGAGCTATCCCCCGCTATGGAGCGGCGGGCCGAGCCCGGGGAGGCGGCGGCGGCGGTAGGAGGAGAAGAAGAGGAGGAGGAGGACGAGGCGCCTGTCTCGGCTCCTTTCTTCCTCCTCTACCCCGGCCATGGAGGCGCCGCCGCCGCGCCGCCCGGCGTGTGGAGACCCCCGGCAGCCCGCGGCGGGGCCACCCTGCCCGTGCTGGTGCTGAGCTACCCGGGGCCGGAGGGAAGCGGCGGTACCGGCGGCCGTGAGGACCTGAGGGGATCCTCCCCGGGGCGGCGGCGGCGGTTCGGGGCCTCCCGGGGTGTCGTGGCGGGGCTGAGGGCCGGGCTGCCCCCGCCTGAGGGAGGGAGGGAGGGAGGGAGGGAGCGAGCGGTGTGGGCCGGGGTTGTTCCCCTGAAAACGGGGTTGTTCTTCTGGGAATGGGGTTGTTTTCCTGGAAACGGGGTGTTCTCCCCTCAAAACTCGCCCCCCGAGCCGGCAGGAAGGGGGTGTGGGGGTGTGTGTGTCATGGCGGCTCCCCTGAGGGAAGGGGCTCCCCTGAGGGAAGGGGCTCCCCGTGTGTGAGGGAAGGGACAGCGGGTGACAGGGGTGCTGACCCTGCCATCCCGCAAAAAGAACAGCGTTATGGGGAGGTTTCCTCCTCTTTTTTGGGATAAGTGTGGTGCTCCCTGTGGAAGCCGCCCTCGGCTCAGGGTGAAGCTTCCTGAGGGAACCCAAGGTGATGGGAATGGTGTGCTGGCCCCTTGGGCAGGCTGAAGGCGGTGGCTGTGTGTGGGGGGTGTGTTTGGGTGGAAAATAGCTTTCTGCTCCCTGAGGTTCTTTGTAATGTTCTCCTGGTGCACTTGGGTAAGCTGGAGTAGAGAGTGAGTTGCACGTGCTTTAAAAACAAGCAAAACCTAAGTGTGTGGGTGCAGGTAGGAGAGATCTTTGCTTTTCCATCCATCCGTCTGGAAAATAGGCAGTGGCTTCATCTTCTGGGCTCAGGTCAAAGGTGTGGGCAACCTTTGGGTCATAGGGATACAAAGATGATGAGGGGCCTGGAGCATCTCTCTGCTGAGGAAAGGCTGAGGGACTTGGGTCTTTTGAGTCTGGAGAAGAGAAGGCTGAGGGGGGATCTGATCAACACCTATAAATCCTTCCAGGGTGGGTGTCAGGAGGATGGGGCCAGGCTTTTCTCAGTGGTGCCCTGTGACAGGATGAGAGGGAACGGGCACAAACTTGGACATAGGAAGTTCCATGTCAACATGAGGAGGAACTTGTTTGGTGTGAGGGTGGCAGAGCCCTGGCAGAGGCTGCCCAGAGAGGTGGTGGAGTCTCCTTCTCTGGAGACATTCCAAACCCTCCTGGACACGTTCCTGTGGGACCTGCTGTGGGTGCCCCTGCTGTGGCAGGGGGTTGGAGGAGATGATCTCTAGAGGTCCCTGCCAACCCCACAGCATTCTGTGATTCTGTTCTCCTGGTGCACTTGGGTAAGCTGGAGTAGCAAGAAGGAGTTGCACGTGCTTTAAAAAGAAACAAACACTAAGTGTGTGGGTGCAGGTTGGAGACATCTTCCCTTCTCCAACCATCTGTCTGGAAAATAGGCAGCGGCTTCATCTTCTGGGCTTGGGCCAAAGGTGTGGGTGACCAAGCTGGTTTGCCTTTGCTTTGTCTCCTCCTGCTTATGTCCCAGGTGAGCTCACACATTAGCTGATTATCTTCTTTTTTTTTTTTCCTGGTGTTCCATCTCTAAGCTAATGTACTTTTATTTAAGCCATTACTCAGCAGAGCTGTAGGCAATTTCTGTAATGCCAAGAGCAGATGCAATGACCTAACTTTTGTTTTGAGCCGTGAGAAGGGCTGTCTCAGACTGCAAACTTCTTGTCTGCAGGCCAAAACTCCCTCCCCGATGAGTTGTTTAAACTGATAGATTCCTGTCAAAACCTTTACTCTTACGTATTTTTTTTCCCTAACCAGGAAATCTTCACCCACTTTAATCCTGTGATGTGTGTGTAAGGTACCGATCTCTGATAGAAAAGAAGCCTTTAAGAAACATATTTATTCTTAGCCAACGTGCTTTTTGTGTTCAGACTTCCCTGTTAGAAGGTTTCTGTGCAGATGTGGCAAAACCGAGGCGTTGAGATCGGTGGGTTTGTTCACAAGGAGTTAGTGTAAAATCTCACTTCATCCCTGGTGTTAGCCTGACTCTGCAGCGGTGCTTCAGGTGAGCTTGGTGAAAAAAAGCCTTCTAGAAATCTATATTAAAGTTGCCTTGTTCTTTTTGGTCCTGGAGGCAGTAGCTGCCTGTGCAGTATGGTGTGTCCAAGCCCCTCGGTGACTGGGTGACAGACACAGTGACAGCAGTGTCTGAAGGGAACAGAAATTATCCTCTACTTGTGTGGTGTCTTGGACTCTGTTTCTCTATCTGTAAATCAGTTTTTTTTTTTATCACCTCTGGCCTGGTTTGGGGTTTTGGGTTGTTTTTTTTTTTTTTTTCTTTTTCTCTTGTGTGATTTTTTTTTTTTCCTTTTCTCCTGTGTGAAAAAGCGGCCGTTGCTCTGCTCAGCATTGGATTGCGGCGGCGTTAGTTGGGGTTATAAAGACTCTGGTGGTTGTTGAGACTCCTGGGTCTCACAGGCTCTTCTCCAGTATCACGAATACCGGTTGCCATAACCTGTAGCAGCTTAGCATCCACTGCTCCTGATCTGCTTCTCCTTGCTCTGCCACAGCACCCGAAGTGAGTCCATCTGGAGCACCAGGTTCAGTTCTGGGCTCCCCAGTTCCAGAAGAACAGGGAACTGCTGGAGAGGGGACAGCAGAGGCTACAGAGATGATGAGGGGCCTGGAGCATCTCTCTGCTGAGGAAAGGCTGAGGGACTTGGGTCTGTTTAGTCTGGAGAAGAGAAGACTGAGGGGGGATCTGATCAACACCTATAAATCCTTCAAGGGTGGGTGTCAGGAGGATGGGGCCAGGCTTTTCTCAGTGGTGCCCAGGGACAGGACAAGAGGGAACGGGCACAAACTGGAACAGGGGAAGTTCCATCTGAACATGAGGAGGAACTTGTTTGGTGTGAGGGTGGCAGAGCCCTGGCAGAGGCTGCCCAGAGAGGTGGTGGAGTCTCCTTCTCTGGAGACATTCCAAACCCACCTGGACCATCTCTCTGCTGAGGAAAGGCTGAGGGACTTGGGTCTTTTGAGTCTGGAGAAGAGAAGGCTGAGGGGGGATCTGATCAACACCTATAAATCCTTCCAGGGTGGGTGTCAGGAGGATGGGGCCAGGCTTTTCTCAGTGGTGCCCTGTGACAGGATGAGAGGGAACGGGCACAAACTTGGACATAGGAAGTTCCATGTCAACATGAGGAGGAACTTGTTTGGTGTGAGGGTGGCAGAGCCCTGGCAGAGGCTGCCCAGAGAGGTGGTGGAGTCTCCTTCTCTGGAGACATTCCAAACCCTCCTGGACACGTTCCTGTGGGACCTGCTGTGGGTGCCCCTGCTGTGGCAGGGGGTTGGAGGAGATGATCTCTAGAGGTCCCTGCCAACCCCACAGCATTCTGTGATTCTGTTCTCCTGGTGCACTTGGGTAAGCTGGAGTAGCAAGAAGGAGTTGCACGTGCTTTAAAAAGAAACAAACACTAAGTGTGTGGGTGCAGGTTGGAGACATCTTCCCTTCTCCAACCATCTGTCTGGAAAATAGGCAGCGGCTTCATCTTCTGGGCTTGGGCCAAAGGTGTGGGTGACCAAGCTGGTTTGCCTTTGCTTTGTCTCCTCCTGCTTATGTCCCAGGTGAGCTCACACATTAGCTGATTATCTTCTTTTTTTTTTTTCCTGGTGTTCCATCTCTAAGCTAATGTACTTTTATTTAAGCCATTACTCAGCAGAGCTGTAGGCAATTTCTGTAATGCCAAGAGCAGATGCAATGACCTAACTTTTGTTTTGAGCCGTGAGAAGGGCTGTCTCAGACTGCAAACTTCTTGTCTGCAGGCCAAAACTCCCTCCCCGATGAGTTGTTTAAACTGATAGATTCCTGTCAAAACCTTTACTCTTACGTATTTTTTTTCCCTAACCAGGAAATCTTCACCCACTTTAATCCTGTGATGTGTGTGTAAGGTACCGATCTCTGATAGAAAAGAAGCCTTTAAGAAACATATTTATTCTTAGCCAACGTGCTTTTTGTGTTCAGACTTCCCTGTTAGAAGGTTTCTGTGCAGATGTGGCAAAACCAAGGCGTTGAGATCGGTGGGTTTGTTCACAAGGAGTTAGTGTAAAATCTCACTTCATCCCTGGTGTTAGCCTGACTCTGCAGCGGTGCTTCAGGTGAGCTTGGTGAAAAAAAAGCCTTCTAAAAATCTATATTAAAGTTGCCTTGTTCTTTTTGGTCCTGGAGGCAGTAGCTGCCTGTGCAGTATGGTGTGTCCAAGCCCCTCGGTGACTGGGTGACGGACACAGTGACAGCAGTGTCTGAAGGGAACAGAAATCACCCTCTACTTGCGTGGTGTCTTGGACTCTGTTTCTCTATCTGTAAATCAATTTTTTTTCATCACCTCTGGCCTGGTTTAGGTTTTTGGGTTGGTTTTTTTTTTTTTCCTTTTCTCCTGTGTGAAAAAGCGGCCGTTGCTCTGCTCAGCATTGGATTGCGGCGGCGTTAGTCGGGGTTATAAAGACTGTGGTGGCTGTTGAGACTCCTGGGTCTCACAGGTTCTTCTCCAGTATCACAAATACCAGTTGCCATAACCTGTAGCAGCTCAGCATCCACTGCTCCTGATCTGTTGCTTCTTGCTCTGCCACAGCACCTGAAGTGAGTCCATCTGGAGCACCGGGTTCAGTTCTGGGCTCCCCAGTTCCAGAAGGACAGGGAACTGCTGGAGAGGGGACAGCAGAGGCTACAGAGATGATGAGGGGCCTGGAGCATCTCTCTGCTGAGGAAAGGCTGAGGGACTTGGGTCTGTTTAGTCTGGAGAAGAGAAGACTGAGGGGGGATCTGATCAACACCTATAAATCCTTCAAGGGTGGGTGTCAGGAGGATGGGGCCAGGCTTTTCTCAGTGGTGCCCAGGGACAGGACAAGAGGGAACGGGCACAAACTGGAACAGGGGAAGTTCCATCTGAACATGAGGAGGAACTTGTTTGGTGTGAGGGTGGCAGAGCCCTGGCAGAGGCTGCCCAGAGAGGTGGTGGAGTCTCCTTCTCTGGAGACATTCCAAACCCACCTGGACACGTTCCTGTGGGACCTGCTGTGGGTGACCCTGCTGTGGCAGGGGGTTGGAGG